GGGGATGAGCATTCTCAACCTGTCCAAACATTTGATGTACGACTTTTATTACAACCGACTCAAACCACAGTACAGCGATTGGTGCGAGCTGCTGTACACCAACACAGACTCCTTGTTGTTGAATATACGCACCGAGGACGTGTACGAGGACATGGCGAAACACCTGCAGCTGTGCGACACCAGCGATTACCCCCAACACCATGCCCTTCACAACGCGACCAATAAAAAGTTCCTCGGCAAGATAAAGGACGAATGCACAGGGACACCCATAGCTGAATACGTCGGATTGAGACCTAAAATGTATTCCATTCAAAAACCAATGACGGCGAAATCCGAAAGACGAAAGGGGTGAAGAAATACGTGGTGAAACGACACATCCAACACACCCTCTTCAAACAGGCTCTCTTCGATAAACGCACGTTCAAACACCCCATGAACGCGTTGAGAAGCGAAAAACACAACATCTACGGCATCACTCTCAACAAAACGTCGCTGTCGCCCATGGATACCAAACGATGGATTGCGAACGATGGCATCCATACTTATAGCTATGGGTACCAACAGTAGGCCTCGACGCATTGGGAGTTTCCGAGACCCCCAATAAAGGAAACTCCACTTGATGCGTCGAGACAATTGAATGAACGATAGCGTGTATACATCATGGAGAAGGTTTACTACAGCCCTCGGGGTTACTGGAAAGGTGTGAGCGCCATCCCGAAGCTAGCCAAAGCCGATCGCGTCTCCAAGGATACCGCCAAAGCTTGCTTAAAAAACAAGCCATCTGGCAAGTATACCTGCCGGCTCCCCGATACATCCCGAGAAGAAAGTTTGACATTTCCATACCCAATCGTACCCATCAAGCCGACCTCCTGTTTCTCCCGCATGACAGGGTGAGAAACAAAACGTACAAGTACGCCCTGACCATTGTGGACATTGCCAGTCGCTACAAGGAAGCGGAGCCGTTGACAACCAAAGATTTGAGTCAAGTCCCCAAGGCTTTAGAATGCATCTACAAACGCAGTCACTTGACCTGGCCGACCAAAGTACAAGTCGATCCCGGATGCTAGTTCATGGGAGCAGCTGTTATCGAAGCATAAAGTCCAGGTGAGACGAGGCTTGGCCGGAGCTCATCGGAGCCAAGCCATTGTCGAGAGATTCAACAGGACTTTAGCCAAGCGTTTGTTCGGACATCAGTATGCCAAAGAGATGGTCAACCCAGAAAAACGATTGACGGAATGGGTGGTACGCTTACCACGAGTGGTGTCGGCGATCAACAACGAAGTCACACGACTCCTCGATAAAAGACCTGTCGAAGCCATTCGAATGAAATCCGTGACGAACGAATCGGCTGCGCCATCGCATCACGGCCAAGAGAAAAAATTACCGGACTGGGTCGTCGTGAGGTATCTGTACCAGCCCGGTTAACTCGAAGGAGGGGATAAACGTCGCTCCACAGACCCCATATGGTCCATGCAAACGTACCAAATCGACCGAGTGGACATCAAAGATGATGAACTGAATTTGTATTACTTGCAAGACGGACCGGGTAGGGGATTCGTCCGAGAGGAATTGATGATCGTCCCTCACGACACGGTATTGCCCCCTTCTTATTAAAGATTCGTCTTATGTATCTCATTATCAACATGTGGAGATTGATCGAGAAACGGTTGTTCAGACGCATCAGGGTGGACGTCAGTGGCCTCGATATTTATGACGCCCTGCATCGAGTCATAAGTCGAGGGAAATTCACCAGCCTGTACGACAGTTTAGGTCTCGTGGGCACCGAACGGTTACAACGTCTCATGGATACGTTAATCGATAATAGCCTGACAACCAGGGAACGCACCGCCCCGTACTCCACCTACTCTGTAGCTTACTTGGACGAGTTCATGGCAGACCCACTCCATAAAGTCGTTGCCGAATATTACGGCTACATTTAAATCCAGTCCAAACCCCGTTTGCTTTCCAAGCTTATGTAACCCGATTATATAATAATTGATTGTGGCTTCTAAAAATTTTCAGCGTCTGGTTTCAAACATCCTTTTCGCTACAACCCTAATACGGCTGTGTGCCTTGCTTTGTATTCACTACCCGCGTGACAGGCCACAGCCAGAGAAATACTCTGACGTCAGGTCTAGACGGTGTGGCTAAGCTCGGCCGTCATCTTTGTTTGGCTTAGCAACGACGGATCTGCCAGGCCCGCCGTTACTAGGCTGGGCCACCATCTTGTTTGGCTTAGCAACGACGGCCATACAGGGCTGCCGTTACTAGGCTGGACGACCTTCTTATTTAACTTAGCAACGACAGTGCTTTTTTCACTTGCAAAAGTTTACGCCGATACCCCGTCTCGAACTCGCATCACTGGATTATGAGTCCTACGCTCTACCATCAAACCACCAGGACTGCCAATCAGTCAATATTTGGAACTTTGGGTCTAGGCTGGAGGCACATCGAAGGATGCCTCTCGATAGACCCTCGCAGTTTTAAAGGGGGCTGGGTAGGCCTAATACTATAGACCTATGTGAGCACGTGTGAGGTGATACACCTACTATAGACCTGTGTGAGCACGTGCGAGGTGATACACATACTATAGACCTATGTGAGCATGTGTGAGGTGATACACCTACTATAGACCTATGTGAGCACGTGTGAGGTGATACACATACTATAGACCTATGTGAGCATGTGTGAGGTGATACACCTACTATAGACCTATGTGAGCACGTGTGAGGTATGATTCTCTGTGTTGTGTTTCCAGAAAGTAGTGAATGATTCTCTGTGTTGTGTTTCCAGAAAGTTATAAGTAACTGATCCTCTGTGTTGTGTTTCCAGAAAGTAGTGAATGATTCTCTGTGTTGTGTTTCCAGAAAGTAGTGAATGATCCTCTGTGTTGTGTTTCCAGAAAGTAGTAACTGATTCTCTGTGTTGTGTTTCCAGAAAGTTATAAGTAACTGATCCTCTGTGTTGTGTTTCCAGAAAGTAGTGAATGATTCTCTGTGTTGTGTTTCCAGAAAGTAGTAACTGATCCTCTGTGTTGTGTTTCCAGAAAGTAGTAACTGATTCTCTGTGTTGTGTTTCCAGAAAGTAGTGAATGATTCTCTGTGTTGTGTTTCCAGAAAGTTCTGTGTTGTGTTAAGTAGTAACTGATCCTCTGTGTTGTGTTTCCAGAAAGTAGTAACTGATTCTCTGTGTTGTGTTTCCAGAAAGTAGTGAATGATTCTCTGTGTTGTGTTTCCAGAAAGTAGTAACTGATTCTCTGTGTTGTGTTTGCAGAAAGTAGTAACTGATTCTCTGTGTTGTGTTTCCAGAAAGTAGTAACTGATTCTCTGTGTTGTGTTTCCAGAAAGTAGTCACTGATTCTCTGTGTTGTGTTTCCAGAAAGTAGTAACTGATTCTCTGTGTTGTGTTTGCAGAAAGTAGTAACTGATTCTCTGTGTTGTGTTTCCAGAAAGTAGTAACTGATTCTCTTTGTTGTGTTTCCAGAAAGTAGTGAATGATTCTCTGTGTTGTGTTTCCAGAAAGTAGTAACTGATTCTCTGTGTTGTGTTTCCAGAAAGTAGTGAATGATTCTCTGTGTTGTGTTTCCAGAAAGTTATAAGTAACTGATCCTCTGTGTTGTGTTTCCAGAAAGTAGTAACTGATTCTCTGTGTTGTGTTTCCAGAAAGTAGTAACTGATTCTCTGTGTTGTGTTTCCAGAAAGTTATAAGTAACTGATTCTCTTTGTTGTGTTTCCAGAAAGTAGTGAATGATTCTCTGTGTTGTGTTTCCAGAAAGTAGTAACTGATTCTCTGTGTTGTGTTTCCAGAAAGTAGTCACTGATTCTCTGTGTTGTGTTTCCAGAAAGTAGTAACTGATTCTCTGTGTTGTGTTTGCAGAAAGTAGTAACTGATTCTCTGTGTTGTGTTTCCAGAAAGTAGTAACTGATTCTCTGTGTTGTGTTTCCAGAAAGTAGTGAATGATTCTCTGTGTTGTGTTTCCAGAAAGTAGAAAGATTCTCTGTAACTGATTCTCTGTGTTGTGTTTCCAGAAAGTAGTGAATGATTCTCTGTGTTGTGTTTCCAGAAAGTGATTCTCTGTGTTGTGTTTAAGTAACTGATTCTCTGTGTTGTGTTTCCAGAAAGTAGTAACTGATTCTCTGTGTTGTGTTTCCAGTAAAGTCCAGAAAGTAACTGATTCTCTGTGTTGTGTTTCCAGAAAGTAGTAAGTAACTGATTCTCTGTGTTGTGTTTCCAGAAAGTAGTGAATGATTCTCTGTGTTGTGTTTCCAGAAAGTAACTGATTCTCTGTGTTGTGTTTCCAGAAAGTAGTAACTGATTCTCTGTGTTGTGTTTCCAGAAAGTAGTAACTGATTCTCTGTGTTGTGTTTCCAGAAAGTAGTAACTGATTCCTCTGTGTTGTGTTTCCAGAAAGTAGTAACTGATTCCTCTGTGTTGTGTTTCCAGAAAGTAGTAACTGATTCTCTGTGTTGTGTTTCCAGAAAGTAGTAACTGATTCTCTGTGTCTGTGTAGTGAATGATTCTCTGTGTTGTGTTTCAGAAAGTTATAAGTAACTGATCCTCTGTGTTGTGTTTCCAGAAAGTAGTAACTGATTCTCTGTGTTGTGTTTCCAGAAAGTAGTAACTGATTCTCTCTGTTGTGTTTCCAGAAAGTAGTGAATGATTCTCTGTGTTGTGTTTCCAGAAAGTAGTAACTGATTCTCTGTGTTGTGTTTCCAGAAAGTAGTAACTGATTCTCTGTGTTGTGTTTCCAGAAAGTAGTAACTGATTCTCTGTGTTGTGTTTCCAGAAAGTAGTAACTGATTCTCTGTGTTGTGTTTCCAGAAAGTAGTGAATGATTCTCTGTGTTGTGTTTCCAGAAAGTAGTGAATGATTCTCTGTGTTGTGTTTCCAGAAAGTAGTAACTGATTCTCTGAGTTGTGTTTCCAGAAAGTAGTGAATGATTCTCTGTGTTGTGTTTCCAGAAAGTTATAAGTAACTGATCCTCTGTGTTGTGTTTCCAGAAAGTAGTGAATGATGCCTATGGTAAACTTCTGCCTCTGGGGACAGTGAAACCACCAGGTCAGGGGTTCTGCACCCTACTCAACATCAGCGTGTGCACTGCCACTGAGTCACAGAAGGAGGTCAGTAGCTGCTGGCGTGACACCGGCTCCACATGGAGGTCACAGAAGGGGGCATCACCAAGTCACCATATCTCATCAGGGGGGTCACTTGTCTCATCATCGGGTAACCATGTGTCATGGTGGGTCACTGGTCTCATCATTGGGTCACCATGTCTCATCAGGTGGTCACCATGTCTCATCAGGTGGTCACCATATCTCATCAGGGGGTCACCATGTCTCATCGGGGGTCACTTGTCTCATCGGGGGTCACCATGTCTCATCATCGGGTCACCATGCCTCATCAGGGGTCACTTGTCTCATCATCAGGTCACCATGTCTCATCAGGTGGTCACCATGTCTCATCAGGGGATCACCATGTTTCATTAGTTGATCACAACAGGTCTCATTAGGAGGTCACCATATCTTATTAGAGCACGACATGTCTCATGAGAGGGTCTGCTCAAGTCATGGAGAGTAGGGGTGGACCAAGGTAGTTGTGGCAGGAGTCATCACAGGACCAGTATTGTAATAGAATGTGTCATTTGGGTGCTGTCAGAGTGTGGTTTAATACCCATGTCGATAATATTCGATATGAATCTTTTTTAAGTATATAAATAATCACGCCAGAAACCATGCTTGATGTTGTCAACAAATCTCATATCCTTATCTTTTATCAGTTCCAAGTGCTTGTGTACAACCCGATCGGGAGGTCAGTGACCTACAATGTACGTCTACCAGTGGTGGGCAGCGCCTTCAGTGTCACCGGACCCAGTGGGGAGGCCATAGTGTCTGAGGTGAGTCACCGGACCCAGTGGGGAGGCCATAGTGTCTGAGGTGAGTCACTTGACCCAGTGGGGAGGCCATAGTGTCTGAGGTGAGTCACTTGACCCAGTGGGGAGGCCATAGTGTCTGAGGTGAGTCACCGGACCCAGTGGGCAGGCCATAGTGTCTGAGGTGAGTCACTTGACCCAGTGGGGAGGCCATAGTGTCTGAGGTGAGTCACCGAACCCAGTGGGGAGGCCATAGTGTTTGAGGTGAGTCACCGGACCCCGTGGGGAGGCCATAGTGTTTGAGGTGAGTCTCCAGATGGAGTGGGGAGGCCATAGTGTTTGAGGTGAGTCACCGGACCCCGTGGGGAGGCCATAGTGTTTGAGGTGAGTCTCCAGATGGAGTGGGGAGGCCATAGTGTTTAAGGTCAGTCAACAGACCCAGCGGGGAGGCCATAGTGTTTGAGGTGAGTCTCCAGACCCAGTGGGGAGGCCATAGTGTTTTTTTAGGTGAGTCACCGGACCCCGTGGGGAGGCCATAGTGTTTGAGGTGAGTCAACAGACCCAGTGGGGAGGCCATAGTGTTTAAGGTCAGTCAACAGACCCAGTGGGGAGGCCATAGTGTTTGAGGTGAGTCTCCAGACCCAGTGGGGAGGCCATAGTGTTTGAGGTGAGTCTCCAGACGGAGTGGGGAGGCCATAGCGTTTGAGGTGAGTCACCAGACCCAGTGGGGGAGGCCATAGTGTTTGAGATGAATCTCCAGACCCAGTGGGGGAGGCCATAGTGTTTGAGGTGAGTCAACAGACCCAGTGGGGAGGCAAAGTGTTTGAAGTGAGTCACCGGACCCCGTGGGGAGGCCATAGTGTTTGAGGTGAGTCTCCAGATGGAGTGGGGAGGCCATAGTGTTTGAGGTGAGTCTCCAGACGGAGTGGGGAGGCCATAGTGTTTAAGGTCAGTCAACAGACCCAGTGGGGAGGCCATAGTGTTTGAGGTGAGTCTCCAGATGGAGTGGGGAGGCCATAGTGTTTGAGGTGAGTCTCCAGACAGAGTGGGGAGGCCATAGTGTTTAAGGTGAGTCTCCAGACCCAGTGGGGAGGCCATAGTGTTTGAGGTGAGTCTCCAGACGGAGTGGGGAGGCCATAGTGTTTGAGGTGAGTCTCCAGACGGAGTGGGGAGGCCATAGCGTTTGAGGTGAGTCACCAGACCCAGTGGGGGAGGCCATAGTGTTTGAGGTGAGTCTCCAGACCCAGTGGGGGAGGCCATAGTGTTTGAGATGAATCTCCAGACCCAGTGGGGGAGGCCATAGTGTTTAAGGTCAGTCAACAGACCCAGTGGGGGAGGCCATAGTGTTTGAGATGAATCTCCAGACCCAGTGGGGGAGGCCATAGTGTTTGAGGTGAGTCAACAGACCCAGTGGGGAGGCAAAGTGTTTGAAGTGAGTCACCTGACCCAGTGGGGAGGCCATAGTGTTTGAGGTGAGTCAACAGACCCAGTGGGGAGGCAAAGTGTTTGAGGTGAGTCACCTGACCCAGTGGGGAGGCCATAGTGTTTGAGGTGAGTCTCCAGACCCAGTGGGGAGGCCATAGTGTTTGAGGTGAGTCTCCAGACCCAGTGGGGAGGCCATAGTGTTTGAGGTGAGTCACCAGATCCCATGGGGAGGCCATAGTGATTGAGGTGAGTCTCCAAACTCAGTGGGGCGGCCATAGTGTTTGAGGTGAGTCTCCAGACCCAGTGGGCAGGCAAAGTGTCTGAGGTGAGTCTCCAGACCCAGTGGGGAGGCCATAGTGTTTGAGGTGAGTCTCAGACCCCAGACGAGAGTGGGGAGTGGGGAGGCCATAGTGTTTGAGGTGAGTCTCCAGACGGAGTGGGGAGGCCATAGTGTTTGAGGTGAGTCACCAGACCCAGTGGGGGAGGCCATAGTGTTTGAGGTGAGTCTCCAGACCCAGTGGGGAGGCCATAGTGTTTGAGATGAATCTCCAGACCCAGTGGGGGAGGCCATAGTGTTTATGGGGAATAACAGACCCAGTGGGGAGGTCAATAACAGACCCAGTGGGGAGGCCATAGTGTTTGAGGTGAGTCTCCAGACCCAGTGGGGAGGCCATAGTGTTTTTTTAGGTGAGTCACCGGACCCCGTGGGGAGGCCATAGTGTTTGAGGTGAGTCAACAGACCCAGTGGGGAGGCAAAGTGTTTGACGTGAGTCACCTGACTCAGTGGGGAGGCCATAGTGTTTTAGGTGAGTCACCAGAACCTGAATAGATTCTTCTTGTGTTGCACATGCAAACATGCAAACCATTATATTATAAACATAGTCATATTGATATCGACTTGTGTACCAATCTCCCTCGTGGTGTAGACACCAACATGTGTAGCGATCTCCCTCGTGGTGTAGACACCAACCCATGTAGCGATCTCCCTCAAGGTGTAGACACCAACTGTGTAGCAATCTCCCTCAAGGTGTAGACACCAACACGTGTAGCGATCTCCCTCAAGGTGTAGACACCAACATGTGTAGCGATCTCCCTCTAGGTGTAGACACCAATATGTGTAGTGATCTCCCTCATGGTGTAGACACCAACCTGTGTAGCGATCTCCCTCAAGGTGTAGACACCAACCTGTGTAGTGATCTCCCTAAAGGTGTAGACACCAACCTGTGTACCGATCTCCCTGTAGCGATCTCCCTCAAGGTGTAGACACCAACCTGTGTAGCGATCTCCCTCAAGGTGTAGACACCAACCTGTGTAGCGATCTCCCTCAAGGTGTAGACACCAACATGTGTAGTGATCTCCCTCGTTGTGTAGACACCAACACGTGCGATCTCCCTCAAGGTGTAGACACGAACCTGTTCTACATAGGAAGAGTCATATAATAAATGAAGAATATTAAGATTTTAATCAAAACCATAATTTTGGCAAGATAATGAACTAAGCATTATCATATGTAGTTATCACTAAACACTTGTGTTATCTTGTGATGGGGAAGTTTCAGTGAGTTGGAGGAGATATGCGAAGACAAACCAGACCGAATAGTGACAATTATTTTACTAATATTTTGCCACAATTATCCTAGATTTTCCTAACTTTGGAATCTCTGTAAAACTCTTGAGACATATATTGACTGATTATTTTGAGCCATTGTCACAATAAGGTAACAGAATGTCATGACTTTTCTATTGACAGGTGTATCCCATCTCGGAGGACACATTCCGCATCCCAGAGAGGAAGGGTGCTCTAGCTGCTAATGAACTGGTGTTCTTTGTAACAGTTCCAGCTCTAGGGTTCAACACCTATTTTGTGTCTTTGAACAGTGGTAAGATACCATGTCTGTCTGCTTTACCCCTTGTGCGATACCATGTCTGTCTGCTTTACCCCTTGTGCGATACCATGTCTGTCTGCTTTACCCCTTGTGCGATACCATGTCTGTCTGCTTTACCCCTTGTAAGATACAATGTCTATCTACTTTACCTGTTGTAAGATACCATGTCCATTTACTTTACCCCTTGTAGGATACCATGTCTGTCTGCTTTACCCCTTGTGCGATACCATGTCTGTCTAATGTACCCATTGTAAGATACCATGTCTGTCTACTTTACCCCTTGTAAGATACCATGTCTGTCTAATGTACCCATTGTAGGATACCATGTCTGTCTAATGTACCCATTGTAGGATACCATGTATGTCTACTTTACCCCTTGTAAGATACCATGACTGTCTACTTTACCCCTTGTAAGATATCATGTCTGTCTACTTTACCCCTTGTAAGATACCATGACTGTCTACTTTACCCCTTGTAAGATACCATGTCTGTCTAATGTACCCATTGTAGGATACCATGTATGTCTACTTTACCCCTTGTAAGATACCATGACTGTCTACTTTACCCCTTGTAAGATACCATGTCTGTCTACTTTACCCATTGTAGGATACCATGTATGTCTACTTTACCCCTTGTAAGATACCATGACTGTCTACTTTACCCCCTGTAAGATACCATGTCTGTCTACTTTACCCCTTGTAAGATACCATGTCTGTCTACTTTACCCCTTGTAGGATACCATGTATGTCTACTTTACCCCTTGTAAGATACCATGACTGTCTACTTTACCCCTTGTAGGATACCATGTATGTCTGCTTCACCCCTTGTAAGATACCATGTCTGTCTACTTTACCCCTTGTAGGATACCATGTATGTCTGCTTCACCCCTTGTAGGATACCATGTATGTCTGCTTTACCCCTTGTAGGATACCATGTCTGTCTACTTTACCCCTTGTAAGATACCATGTCTGTCTACTTTACCATGTTAGATGATGCTCTCTTCCCTTAAAGGTGCTGAGAGCCAGGTGCCACCAAGAAAGTCATTTACCGTGGGTGCTGACACAACTATTGGGAATCAGGTGGGTGGAATGTCGTGAAACCTACTGTACACTCTACACCGGATGACTCCTGTTTCAGCTGATGTATGTCTGTGTATATTTTGTGACGTAAGCTCTGTACGCTTGCTTAGTAGGTCATTCCTCGTTTTGAAACTTTAATGGGACCAGATAACCCCTGTGGAAATTTACTTAATTTTTCCTTATCCTGACTCATGCTCTTTTTGCTTGTCTTCTTCTTCTTGCGAACATAGTGGAACACTTGTATCTCCCTAATTGAAGCTCCCTTCAATTTAAAATCACTAATTAGTATTCACCACGAGTTACCTCCCTTCCACAAGCGCGGGAACGAGGGCGCCACCTCTACCCATGTGCCTCACTCTCTCCTTCTTCGCCCAGTGAGCTGGACGTGAGAGCGCCTGTGTCTCCCGACACACTATATCCTTTGAATTATATTTAGTTAGTTACCTCGTATAGACATCTATAGAGGTTTAGCTAGTATCCTTCAACGATTATATATTGATATTTAGTCGCTTTTTCTACAGTTTATTCACGGACCGCGGTTTGTTTCAGTGGATTACGTTGATGAAAATTCTGTACTATTGCAGATTACGTTTTTTATGCTGCTGCTGATCCGCCTTTAATATGATGTACGGCGCCATGTTTATTATATTCACATTGCAGTTGCGGTACTAATTTATCCAATTCTACCTTTTATTAATATTTACTTTGCGCTTGCACTTGCACAGCAGATAGGTCGCGTGATGCAGAGTCTAGTATGACTGATACACGGAACCCCTCGCCAGTCTACTGCTGTTGGCCGACTCCCCTCCCGTGTGGTGTTCCGCTAGAGTGGTGGAGAGGTGTGGGACGTAGTCCGCCATCTCCAAGAAGCATCCTGCTTCCCCAGACATCCCATCGTCGCAGCAGAAGACTAGAGGGTTTTTCTACTACATCTCAACAACCGAGACCGTTCCCATCGAAGTTTGGGCCTGTATGATGATCAGCCGGTCATCATACCGGATGTACATCAAAGATTGACCGATGTCGGCACAGATCAGCATGCAGCCTGATGTACCAACGCAGATATGCTGATGATCGCCCTGAGGGTCCCATCATTACCAACACTCAACGCAGACGCCGTGACACCCAGGGCAGCGCCGACCTCTGAGGGAAAATCAACGAAGTCTACTAGGACTTTCTCAACCGAGATTGTTCCAGCCGATGACCTGGACCTCTACGATGATCAGCTGATCATCATCCCCGACGCACGCCACACAAGAAACGACCGGTGACAGCTACAACGACATCAGCAGAGATCACCATGCAGCCTGATGCCTCTACACTGATGTCGCATGACGATTTTCCGTGGACCCTCCATTAACACCGCAGATAAAGCACCGACGACCTCGTCGCAGACCATCCCAGAAGACATGATGCGACAATTTATGAACATCATGGAGGACCAATATCTCGCGTAGCAGGGTCCGAAGTTTGCGAAGGCTCCAACGTGACAGCACCCCAGAGGCACCCCCGCCAACGTAGCAGCCAGGACGATGTCACCTTCGCGAAGGAAGTCACGGACCACCTTGACGAAGGACCTAGATGTACAGCTCTTCGAAGGCCTTCGCGAAGGCGAAAGGACCTAGATGTACAGCCTTCGCCAAGGCGGAAAGAACCTAGATGTACAGCCTTCGCGAAGGACTTCGCGAAGGCAGGATAGATCATCACCTTATGCGGTTTCATCCCTAGATGTGGACTCGGACCATCAGACATCACGGAAGCCTTCGAAGGTCATATCGTCGTTCCCCGGACCGACGCAGAGGAAGCTTCGCGAAGGCATGCGCCGAAGGACACCTGAATCCAGATCATCATCATCTAGAAGGACATCGAGGGACTAAACAAGAGCAGCGAAACTATCAACGTTCCCCTCACAAGTCTCCAGAAGATCAACCCATAGACAAGTTGATCATCGATATCAAGTATAAGAACTACAATCGTATATTGGTTCTGTTGAATCCATGACGAGACGTATGTTCGCTGGCCTAAATAGATCTAGAACGATCAATTAGACACTTATCACCAGACTTCGTGAACACCTACTTCTGAATATGATAAGATGATCCATGCCCTACTTAGGCAAGCGCCACGATCCCACATCCTGTTAAACACAGAGGCTGTTCAAGCAAGCGCATATATATATTTATATATATATATATATACTAATCGGGCTTTTGATTTCGACACCTTCAGCGATGGTCGCGAAGGCTAAGTGGCTCCAAGTCTACTTCACCCAGAAGATCTAGAAGGGATACTTCGAGAACTTCGAAGTCTCCGGGCGCTCACCGAGGAAGTCTCCTCCAAGGTTTCCATATACTAGCCACTCGTCATATATAGCTACTGCCAGTCCGTCCGTTCAAGACGCCGCATAAGTTGATTATCAACTGTATGCCAGATGCCGCCTATAAGCCTCACGCGAAGATAATTGCTCAGGCTATTTACAACACAGAACGCCGCTGTATTATTAGTCAACGACATTTCATAGATCTTCACAGAAATCAACTATTCCGTATAAATTGCTAATATACAATCTCGACGACGATACGATTATCTACATGCGTGACCATTGCGCATATCTGCAGACAATTCAATATCGAAATTGAACAGCAGCCTTGTTACAGCGCAGTATAACTCTTAATCGCCAAAGTTTCTGAGAAGAAATATGTACAACAAGTTCAACGTTAATTCTACAATTATGACGATACATTCATGTATACAGTCTACAAGCTCACAACTTGCAAGTTGTTTATACCCTTATATATAAGGAAGTCGGAATTATATTCAAAACTGAAATTATTTTCACGACAACCAGGAAAATAACCTACCCAGCATAAAATTACAGAGCCGAGATATTTTCGCTACCGGAGGTTTCAAGCGTTACCATTAACCCTCGAAACACGTGGTCACCGGATAACTTCGGGAAGCTACGGTGAAGACCGACGTTTATGCTAATATCAACGACGACAAGAATTTATTCAAGGTGGGTTTTTCCGCTACACCGGTGACATCACAGCTGGTATTATACAGAATCAAAATGCCTTGTTCTGATTGGACCGCTGAGGACAACGACCTACACAGAGGTCGATCTCTATTCACAGTTCAAGACTTACGCCACAAGTGACAACTATGTATCAGTGAACGAGCAAGCCTCATTACAGTCCAGTTAACCTGAACATTCATTATTAGACTGCCTTTCTTCAAGTTAGAGACCTCCCTGTCAAGTTAAGACGAGGATCGGCAGTCAGGCGATTTTACATAAAGTTCAACGAGGACAGACACACCTGGTTGTGCACCTACATCGTCAAGGACTTCGCGAGCTTAATTACCTAGACGAAAGATACAAGTGGATCTAAATCCACAGCGTTTCAGACTACAGCTGAATTTCATCAAGCGACTAACACAACTAGATGGTTAGTAAACCTACTAAACTTCTGTTTGGAGAATAAAACGGAAATTTCACGCCAACCTGGGGATATGAATATAGTGTTCCAACACCTCACAAGTGAGGTTTATGAACACGCCTGGATGACATACTTGGACCCCATGATACGATGATTCTATCAAGATGGCCAGCAAGAGCACTGTAAATTTATCTCCACCAAACCAAACAGGAGGAAAAAATGCAACAGATTATTTCCTCTATCATCAACTTCACGAGTGAAGTCTCATGTACTATATCTCCATTTGGATCAGAACTGTCATACTACGTGCATATGCGGATGGACCTATTCCGACCCTCCATGAGCTTAATACTCATGATATTATAGCTTAACTTCTACAATTGTTGTACACAAATGTGATTGAAATAATGGAGGGTTTATTTCTGAAATCCGATATGGTGGTTGCAAACCATTATCTGAGAGATATCACCACCGAGGACGTCTCAGGTATACACCAATTCGATCCCATGGTCCTCGCACAACAGCTGACAGTTCCTCGGAGAAGATAAGTCAATCTAACAGATTTTTACTTATCTTATAACAATACTAAATAGCTTCATGCTATATATAATTTACTTAAGTTCCTTTTATCATCACAGTACTATGATTATTACATCATACAATATATAAGTTAACAACTCTACAGAGTTTGTTATTATATATATTTACCTTAAGTTATTCATATCTTAAGAGTAATACTATGGTTACATGATAAATGCATTAGGTAACTTAAGCTAATTATACCTTAAGCATAGTACTATACTCATATTATTAAAATATATTGGCTAACAAACTCTAAGGAGTTTTGCTATTATATAGGTAGCTTAAGCTTATTCATATCTTAAGCTTAGTACTATGTTTATATCATATAAGTAGATTAGCTAACAAACTCTAAAGAGTTTTTTGCTATTTGGCTTAAGTATCATCATATTTCTAAGCAATATGGTTATATTATAACATGTATTAGCTAACAAACTCTACAGAGTTTTAGCTATTATATATGTAACTTAAGCTTATTCATATCTTAAGCTAGTACTATGTTTATATCATATAGGTATATTAGCTATCAAAACTCTAAAAGAGGGTTTTGCTATTATATATTTCTGGCTAAAGTTTCATCATATTTTAAGCTTTATGGTTACATTATAACATGTATTAGCTAACAAACTCTACGGAGTTCTTGCTATTATATATGTAGCTTAAGTTTTCCTTCATAAGCTCAATACTAGGTTTATATCATAGCTAACAAACTCTAAAGGGTTGTTTTCGCTTATTATACAATTAGCTTAAGTTTCATCATATCTTAAGCAGTATGTTTACATTATAAAGCAGATAGCTAACAAAACTCGACGGAGTTTTGTTATTATATATATATAGCTTAAGTTTCATCATAACTTAAGCTCAGTACTATGTTTTTAACATAAAAGTATATTAGTTAATAAACTCTAAGGAGTTTATTTTGCTATATACATTTAGCTTAAGTCTAATCTTATCTTAAGCTTAGTACTATGGTTACACTATAAACATATTAGCTAATAAACTCTACAGAGTTTTTGGCTATTATATATGTAGCTTAAGTTAATAATATCTTAAGCACAATACTATACTCATATTGTAAAATATATTAGCTAACAAACTCTCACGGAGTTTTGCTATTATATATGTAGCTTAAGTTCATTATATCTTAAGCACACTACTATACTCATATTGTAAAATATATTAGCTAACAAACTCTACGGAGTTTTGCTATTATATATGTAGCTTAAGTTAATTATATCTTAAGCAGACTACTATACTCATATTGTAAAAATATATTAGCTAACAAAACCCTACAGAGTTTTGCTATATATGTAGCTTAAGTTAATTATATCTTAAGCTCAGTACTATACTAATATTATAAATATATATTAGCTAACAAACTCTACAGAGTTTGGCTATTATATATGTAGCTTAAGTTAATTATAGCTTAAGCACAGTACTATACTCATATTATAAAAATATATTAGCTAACAAACTCTACAGAGTTTGGCTATTATATATGTAGCTTAAGTTAATTATAGCTTAAGCACAGTACTATACTCATATTATAAAAATATATTAGCTAACAAACTCTACAGAGTTTTGCTATTATATATGTAGCTAAAGCTTATTCATATCTTAAGCTCAGCATTATATCTATATCATATAAGTATATTAACTAACAAACTCTAAAGAGTTTGCTATTATATAATTAGCTTAAGTTTAATCATATCTTAAGCTTAGTACTATGTTATATCTTAAAGTATTTTAGCTAACAAACTCTAAGGAGTTTATACTAGCATATTAACAAGCTTAAGTCTATTAGTCTTAAGCATTGTATTAATGTTATATATACTTTATCATAATAAGTACATGGTAATAACCTTTATATGGCAGCTGATAAGTTAGCAGCAGGAATTTATCAGTTCAGTGCCTTTATGAAGTTCCCATAGGGTTATTACAATCATCACAGTTCAAATCACTAATTATTAAAAATCCAAAGTATTAGATATTCCCACCTCCGTTCCGTAGGATGCTACAAGCAAAAAGAGCATGAGTCAGGATAAGGAAAAATATGTAATTTTTGGAGTAAAATTGATATTTTATACTTATCCTGACTCATGAGGTCAGCCCTCCCATCCTCCCCAAATAACACTTTGGATTTCCCTGTAAATTCAAATGTTGGGCTCAGTATATGAGGAGAGAGTGAGGCACATGGGTAGAGGTGGCGCCCTCGTTCCCGCGCTTGTGGAAGGGAGGTAACTCGTGGTGAATACTAATTAGTGATTTTAAATTGAAGGGAGCTTCAATTAGGGAGATACAAGTGTTCCACTATGTTCGCAAGAAGAAGAAGACAAGCAAAAAGAGCATGAGTCAGGATAAGTATAAAATATCAATTTTACTCCAAAAATTACATTTTTTGATATAGTTGTGATTTACTGCAAATCGACAAAGTTTTGCTGGCAGGAAAGTTTTGCTAGTATTGCGAATGAACTCTGGGCGCAAACTTTCCAGGCGTAATGACGTCTCTCATTTTGTTAAGCAATTATTCCCGGTCCATGTAAATTACGTGATCAAACAATGTCAAGAAGTCCAGATGTTCGCCTACCGGTAATATTCCTTAACACAATGTACATACTTCACAGCAATCACTAACATATTGCATGTACTCACGTCTCGTAATGAAGTGTAGTCGACAGTAAATGGATACGCATACATATTTTGTTTCGCCGAAAGTCATAATTAGTGTAGCTGAATGATAACATTCCAACAAACTGCTTCCACAGTGCAAATAGCGACATTGCATGAAACCTCATCGGTGACAGGTTAAATTGTTCCATGCATAAAAACTATCCGTCAATACTCCAAAAAAAACTGTCGCATAACCTTAGTTATGATTATAAATATTTTACATTTATAGAGCAGAGCCTGCAATGAAAATGACACAATACTAGAATATATTTCTCTTTATAAAACAATAGTTTCAGATACTATCTTTTTAAGATCACTGCATCACAATTCATTTCGGTATATTATCGAGTACGTTTTAACTAAATCATTGGTAGGGGAACGTGTGCACTGCACAGCTAATTGCTATTTCCGGCGTTGTAAACGAGACAGTTACACAAGGTAATCTTAATCCCTGCATATAAGACAATGCCTAGCAAAAACAAATTAGAACTGAATAGGTAAATATATTTCTCTAGCAATGTTTAATTGCAAATTTGACGTCTTTGGTCTTTTCTTGTATGTTCGTTCACGCGAAGCGATACTATTTATTGCCAACAATTTGACTTGTTTTTACAAGAGGAGGACTCGCAAAACAATCACGACGTAGAGCTGGTTGGGTTGTTGATCACGCAAAACATTGACGACGGGGAACTTTGTCGACTTACAGTACTTGATTCTTTGTGTATGTATTGCCTGTGCGTTTTTGCGTGAGTTGATGGGTGTGTGTTTCAGTACATCAGCTGATGGGTGTGTGTTTCAGTACATCAGCTGATGGGTGTGTGTTTCAGTACATCAGCTGATGGGTGTGTGTTTCAGTACATCAGCTGATGGGTGTGTGTTTCAGTACATCAGCTGATGGGTGTGTGTTTCAGTACATCAGCTGATGGGTGTGTGTTTCAGTACATCAGCTTGACATTTGATGGGATCTCCGGGCAGCTGAAGTCCATGAGGAACCTGAAGAAGAACCTGGACATCAGCCTCGGGCAGAGCTTCATGTTCTACCCAGGCTATGCAGGCAACAACAGCGGTGATGTGAACCAGGCTTCAGGCGCCTACATCTTCCGACCAAATGCAACTTCTGCCACCAACATCGGCAGTGGTGCTCAGCTGTCTTCAAGCAACTACATCCGAGAGGTGAGACATTTGTGGAGGATGAAGGCAGGATGAAGGTGGAACATCTGTAGTGAGTGAGTGAGTGAGTTTAGTTTTACGCCGCACTCAGCAATATTTCAGCTCTATGGCAGCAGTCTGTAAATAATGACATGTGTCAACCAAGTCAGCGAGCCTGACCACCCAGTCTCGTTAGTCCCCCTTAAGACAATCATTGGTTACTGAAGACCAATTCTAACCCCAGATCTTCATGGGTCAGAACATCTGTAGTGAAGGGTGGGTGTTTGTAATGGAGAATGGGTAATCTGCCAAAAGTTTCAGCAAAATATATACCTGTCAGCTGTAACAGTTTGGAACTGGGGAATACAGTTGCGTCTTGTAATCAACAAAATCTTCCTGAAATGACTTCAGTATTGAAACTGAAGAAAGGATTGCTAGATTAAAGTATGAATGTAACTGATAATGATGGAATAATGACTCATCTTTCAGGGCAGGCTTGTGCAGGAAGTCTACCAGCAGTTTGCACCGTGGGCTACGCAGGTGATTCGAGTGTATGAAAATGAGCAGTACGCCGAGTTCCAGTGGACTATTGGCCCAATCTCGATAGATGACAAGATTGGAAAGGAGGTGATCACTAGATACACCACCAACCTTGCCACACAGGGCCGCTTCTTTACTGATGCCAATGGCAGGGAGGTGTTGGAGAGACAGCGCAACCACCGTGACACGTGGGACCTCAACGTGACAGAACCTGTTTCTCAGAACTACTACCCTGTGAACAGCAGGATCTACCTTCAGGACACCAGCAGGAACGTGCAGTTCACTGTCCTCAATGACCGTTCTGAGGGCGGCAGCAGTCTGGGCGATGGCTCCCTGGAACTGATGCTGCATCGCCGCCTGTTGAAGGATGATGCCCGCGGTGTGGGGGAACCCTTGAACGAGACTGGGGCTGATGGGAAGGGTTTGATTGTCCGAGGCTACAACTACGTGTTCCTGGACACCATTGCCGACTCAGCTAGACTACACCGCGACCTTGGGGAAAGACTCTTCATGGCACCATCAATGTCCTTCACTAATGTACAAATGAAATATGCTGACTGGAGCAAGAACTTCAGAACAAATGTAAGAATACGTTCTGTGTAGAGTGAGTTGGATTGAGTGCTGGATTAAACTTATATTACTTATTTCTTTTTCAGAAGAAGTCCTCCTTGGGGTACATATAAGCATTAAAATGTCCATTTTAAAACCTACGACAGTTGTAACTATATTCTAATAAAAATATTTACAAAACAAAAAACACATTTTTGTCTTGTGAGACCACCCCTACAGATCCCCTGAGGGCCCCTTACAGGCAAGAGCAGGTAACTCTAGCCGTCAACCTCGCACCTCACTTTTCATGCTGTCATTCATTATGAAAGACGTGTGTGTGTTCATCGAAGGTATGCTACTTCTACCTACGGCAATGAGTGGTAAAGAGTTACCTGCTGTATGTATGGTTCCATTTCTTCTGCATGGGCTCTAGATGGAATTTATAGGTGGAACTTTTCATTCATAAATTGTTGTAACTTTGCCAGTTTGGTTCCCATTTCCAGCCATGTGGCAGGCAAGATGGCAGATCGGGTGGCTTACATTCGTTCCTTGTTGTGTTGCGCTTGGCGTTCACAAAACTAGGACGGGTGTATATATGTTTACCATAAGCTAGGCTTGCCTAATTAATTTCGCTTTCAGTGAAATTAAGGTAAGTCGGAGTTGGTAATTTAGCATGTACGTTGTATTTGCTGTATATTATGCTATATATGTAAACACAGGCAGCTTGCATTTTCTCCGCTTGTTCATGTCTACATGTTAAGTTGGTTAAATTGCTTTAGCTTTTGGCAATTTTTTATCGCCTGTGCGTTTTCTCTTTGCTGTTGCTTGTGTAAGTATATATGCGAACATATGTTTGCTGTTTCTTGCGGCACTCTAAACTTACCGGCCCCAGATACTCACGAAGTTTGCCTTTGCTGTCTTGCGGAAGAGCATCACAATGTGAGAAATGTCAAGCCTGCATGAATCTGAGAGAGAGAGAGAGAGAGAGACATATGGGCTAAGGACCCACCCTCCAAATCCTCTAAGGGCAAGAAGAGTCCAAGACGGTGGAAAAACACCCTTCTTCCCCTAGCCCCCCTACATCTGCACAATCCGATTCTGCATCTGCACCTTTAACGTTAACAGACTTCGGTTCGCTCACTTATCTCGGACACAGTATCCGTTCGGGGGTTAGTGGTGCTCCGGGGTCGTCTGCCGGAGGCACCCCTACCTCAGGCTTAGGCTCAGGGACGGGTTCTGCCTCCGGGGTTGTGCCTAATCCGAGCTTCGGTTCCGGTGATGGCCTCTCTGTCGGTGCAGTTGTGTCGAGCCTTGGCTCTGGTACAGTCCAGCTCACTGGAGCTGATCCTTCGGGTCTCGTACCGTAGGCAACTGGCACCCAAGCTGTGGGTACTCGAGTGCTGGCGTTGCCGGTTACCTCAGTGCCTTCCCGTTTTCCAGGGAATCCTGTTACGGCAGGCACTTCCCTGGGTCCTCAGCGACTAGGTTCGGCCTCGAGCCTAGGGTTGGTCGAGCCAGGCACCTCGGCTCTTTTTGATCCGTTGTCCTTGTCTGTGGATCCTGCTTCCGTGACTTTGGAGGTGACTCTTGACATCGAGAGCTCACTCCTGGAGGAGCGGGAGGAGGAAGCCATGGAGGAGGATGGGGGTTGGGAACAGTCGGGGGAAGGTAGCTTCTCACTTGGCCCATGCCTGCGGCAGGTACGTGATCGTATTGCTACTGTTTTGCCGCAGGTGATCATCCCTTTGGACGATCCCGACCCTGTGGAGTTTCACCTCCCGGGGGGGGCCTTTGCTCAGTGTCGGGTCGCCGAGACCCATTTGCACATTTTGCCTACGCTCCTTAGCGAGGTTATCAATCCTCTCTTATCAGGTAGTCGGTCATGGTTTGATCTCCCGGAGCTCAACCGACGCTACTTGATGGGAGAGGAGGCTCTGTTTGACCCCCCGGTGGTTGACGAGTGCATTTATGCCTCGGTCGCCCGGGGGTGTCATCTGGCCACAGTCAGGCGTCAGCTTGGCAGGGTCGGCGCTTGCCTCCTTTTACCTCAAATAACCAGATGTTGAAGTCGGTATATCGCTCGTTTGAAGAGCAATACCGCAATGCCGTGCAACAGCTTAAGGTTACCGTCCACTCAGCTGACCTCTCTGCCCTGCAGAGCAAGCTGGTGGACCAGGGGGGGCATGGACGATGCCATGCCATCGTCCACGTTAGCGAGGCAGCTTACAGAGGTGCACTCACATTTGGCACGCGACGCCATACAGTCGTGCGCAAGCCAGATGATGAGTGCAGTCTTGGGCCTCTGTAGGCTATGGCTGTCGGTCGCCAGGTATTCTCCGGCTACACAGCAGGCTCTACTCTCTCTGCCCTTCAGGATGGGTCCGACCCTATTCCCGGGGGCTTTGACAGTAGTCAGGGAGGCCGCAGAGGCGGTTAGCCAGTTTGAGGACTCCACCCTCACCTCTCAGCAGCCTTTTCAGAGGAAGGGGAAGTCGGCCCCGGCTTCCCAGTAAAAGTAATTCCTCCGGAGCCCCTATCGGCGGCCGACTAACTCTATTCCTTCGGGAGCGGGAGAGAGTCACGTCAAATTCCTGGGTCCTGTCCACGCTCAGGGATGGCTGACTTCTCAAGAGGTGGATATACTCCGTGCCAAAGTCCAGTCAGGTGGTTCCGATGGGCCAGGAAAATCTGGGGTTTTTTACTCCACTTATTTTTTTTTTTGTAAAGTATTTTTATTCACTTTACTTGGTTACATTTGAACAAGATATGTGGGTAGAGTAGAATGGTACAGGTTGCATAATAGAAAGCAGACAATGTATAACATATGGTACTGGGAATATAGATTTACAATTGAGATGCTAGCTAATATTACAGAGAATTAAAAGACTAAAAAATAAATTACAGGACTGCATCTAGGACATTCCATTTTCTGTAAAAAATGTTTCATATTATCGTTTTTCTTCTCGATAAATTTCTCTGTCTCGTAGACATCTTTTAATAATGTTCTGTTGATGGTGAAACTTAGGTTTGTGTCCTTTTATATTCATTACGAAAATGTGGCGCTTTGCCAATAATATCATGTGGTTGAGTAAGTGGTTACTACTGCAACAAAGTAGAATATCATGGTTTGACATTTCATACGTTTTACCAAGGACTTGAGTTATAAAATTGTTAAATTCTGACCAGAACATTTTGAAGGTTACACAGCCAACCGCCGTCATTCATTGCCTGTTACCCGACGTCCCTATCGGCGGCCGACTAACTCTATTCCTTCGGGAGCGGGAGAGAGTCACGTCAAATTCCTGGGTCCTGTCCACGCTCAGGGATGGCCGACTTCTCAGGAGGTGGATATACTCCGTGCCGAGGTCCAGTCAGGTGGTTCTGACGGGCCAGGAAAATCTGGGTTTTTTTACTCCACTTATTTCCAGGTTACCAAGAAGGACGGCGGGTTCAGACCCATTCTAAATCTAAAGGGTCTGAACGACATGATTGAGGTGCCATCTTACAAGATTGAGACACTGCGCTCAGTGATTTTGTCTGTAGAGGCAGGGGATTGGCTCATGTCAATCGACCTCAAAGACGCATACCTCCATGTCACAATGGACCCCGAGTTCAGGAAATACAACCGGTTTTCCTTCGACGGGAAGTGCTATCAGTTTTGTGTGCTACCCTTCGGCATCTCCACGGCGCCAAGGGTGTTCACAAAACTCATGCTGGTGCCAGCTCAAGTTGCCAGGGCACAGGGCAACTTTTTGTTACCTGTACCTGGACGACTGGGTTCTCAGAGCACTCACCACCCACTCGCGTTGGGATTCCACACAGACAGTGATGGATACTCTCACCAAATTGGGTTGGATTGCGACCCAGAATCTGGTTTTCTTGGGAGCGAGATTCGAGACACAGCAGGGATTAGTCTATCTGTCTCGGGACCGCATTGCCAGGAACTTACCATTCTTCATAAGGATAGGGTAAGCATTCGCTTACCTGACTCCTACTGCCCTAAGATCGCGAGCACGTTTCATGTAACAGCGCCTATCGATCTTCCCGCCTTTACGCTTCCTGCTTCATCTCGTAACACGAAACGCCGAGTGCACGTGTTAGACATACGCAAGACACTAAAAGCGTATAAAAAGAGAACGGCAGCTATTCTGCTGCTACATCGGGGGCAAGGCTGGTCATCCGGCTACTACACAAACCTTATCGAGATGGATTGTGTCAGCAATTTGTATGGCTTACTTACATAAAGGCCTATCTCCCCCCCCGAGGGGTTGAAGGCTCATTCGGTTCGAGCAGTAGCCACCTCCAAAGCGTATGCTGCCGCTCTGCCCATTGAGGAGATCTGGTCCGCGGCTATATGGAGCCGACCGATCACGTTCATCCGTCATTACCAGTTGGACAAACACTTGCGTGAACTTGCTCGATTTGGCCAGACGGTTCTCCGCAGTAGACAGAGTAGCACCTCTCAAGCTAATTGAGCTTTCCAGATGATGTACTCTGTTTTACACTTGGTGTTGGGTTTATTCCTTCCCCCTTTCTATCGGTGACGGTATCTGGTGGTGTTTTTATTCCCGTTCTACTTTGGTATATCGGTGCCTTACTTTTACTCTCCATTTTCCCACGCTTGGCTAGCTGTGTGCTATGGACAGTAGTTTGTTTTGGCGAGTTCCCCGTATTTACACACCTCCAACCTTTAGGTTGGGTGTTGGGGTTTATTACTCGGGGTGTGACATCGGCATATAGGCTTTAACAATCCGGGTCCTCACCCTAGCCACGCACCCCTGCCTTGATTGATATCAGCGGTCAGGTGACAAGGTAAGTGTAATTTTCTATTTCCATGCGGTTGTAGATTGTTACTTCGATTGGATCACTTTGTCAGACAGAATACCACTCCCAGTCTTTGGGAGTCTGTGTTATGCTTATATGTACCCGAAGGAGGACTTCTTCTGAAAAAGAATTATACAAACCTGTAGAGGTTATGAATTCTTTGAAGAAAGTCCTCCTTGGGGTACGGCCACCCGCCTCCCCTCATTCTGTCTGACCCATTCAACATGAAAAGTGAGGTGCGAGGTTGATGGCTAGAGTTACCTGCTCTTGCCTGTAGGGGGCCCTGAGGGGACCTGTAGGGGTGGTCTCACCAGACAAAAATGTGTTTTTTGTTTTGTAAATATTTTTATTAAAATATAGTTACAACTGTTGTAGGTTTTAAAATGGACATTTTAATGCTTATATGTAACCCAAGGAGGACTTTCTTCAAAGAATTCATAACCTCTACAGGTTTGTATAAATATGCTAGTGTGTCAGCTTGGTGGTCTGGTCTGACTTCATACACGTCATACATATATATGACATACATTTAGTCATATACACATCCCCAATCGAGCATTATGCTTTTTTGACAAAAAATAAAAACATCCTATCATGCAAGTATGATATCCACAAACACTCACACAACCCACTCATCCACTCAGCTGTAATTTTGGTAAAAAGTGTATGATATTTAGATTGTTTTAAACTACTATTTCAGTGGTCTGGCCTGAAGCGTGAGTTACCTGCCAATGTCCACCTGCTGACCCTGGAGCAGTACGCAGGATCGGGCCCCGCCCCCTCCCCCATGCAGCCGTACCTGCTGAGGCTGGAGCACTTCTACGAGAAGGAGGAAGATGCAGCCCTCTCTGCCCCAGTTACAGTGTCACTGAAGGTTACCCGGCTGTCTGCTTGTACTTGATTTCATTGTCTTCTTGTGTTTATGGAGGTCTAAATGTGTGAACAGTGCACACTCTGCTTTGCAGATGTAGGTAGTACACAGATCAGCTGTTAACACCAGCCTCCACAACCTCAAAACATTCAGTACTTATTTCATCGCTTTCACAAAGTTGTAGACAATGATACGAAATCTGTGTTTAGGATTTAAAGAAACAGAAGACAACTGGACAATTCGGACATTTAATTAATAACTGAAATCAATGTACTGTACATGTCACAGGACTGGTTAATGAAACGATACAGAACATCTAACAACTGATAATTACATTGTACTAATATTGACCTCTGTTGAACATTGCATATTATGTTGCTGGTTATAGAAAAGTAGAAGCAAGAAGAAAGTTGTTTGGTTCGTTGATCAAATGCCACAGAACCACTGGCGATGGTTCGGGATAGTGCAACATTTTTGTGTCTATAGAGCCAGTATGTTTACAGGTTGACCTGTCAGTTTTCTGCTGTTCTCCAACTAAAAACCCATCTATAATCATGCCATGTAACCCTTTATCTAAAACCCTAACCCTGACAGTAACTTAACATGTTGTCCATAGAAAGGTAATCCCACAAAAGAAGAGTGTCTACATAAGACATAACAGGAAGAGGCACTGTGCACCAAGTACAGTTATGATTAAGTTTTTAGAGGATAATAGAACTCTTCTTTCAGTCACTGAATTCAGATCTCTGGTTGTAGCAAAACAAATATTTCTATTCTTTTTCATCTTTTATGTGTTTACATGAAAATATTTGTGGAATCAGCCAGTATTTCTGGCAGAGGTCAATGGGGTGTGACAGTCCATCTACTCTGTTTCCAGGATCTATTTGTGCCCTTTGATATCGAGGCTGTGACGGAGCTGACGCTGGGGTCGAACCTGCCACTCAGCCAGCTGAACCGCCTCCAGTGGAAAACAACAGACAGTGGACACACAGGTAACGCTCAGTCTTGTGTTTATCAGCCTCTTCACACATGACAGCCGCTTGTGTTTTTCAACCTCTTTATATGCACTTTTTTACTTTGTTTGCCTTTTAAGAGCATTCATTTGTCAGCTTTTTCTATTTGTCTGTCAGGGCGGTGGGGTAGCCTAGTGGTTAAAGTGTTTGCCATCACGGGCAGACACGGCTCATTTCCCCAATTGGGCACAATGTGTGAAGCCCATTACTTGTGTCCCCCATCTTGATAGTGCTGGAAAATTGCTAAAACTGCGGCATAAAACTAAACTCACATACTCTGTTTGTCTGTCACCATGTGTGTTTGTAAGCCTCATGTGTTTGTTTGATCTTCATGTTTGATCTTCATGTTTGATCGTCAGCCTCTGTTGCTATTTCATTTGGCTGTAATAAGATTATGAACATTTTTTCACTCAAAAGAAATGTTGCTCATTGAATGAATAACATGGTGTGTTATGTTTTCAGATACCACCTTGAGGTTTAAGCCTGTGTCCCTGTCGGAAGCTGCTCCCCTAGACATAACGCTGAACCCCATGGAGATCCGGACGTTCCAGGTGAAACTCACACAGCACTGACCCCGGGGGACACCTGCTGGTCACAGACAGAGAAGTTACACCTGATCCTTATAATACAATATCATGCTAATGAATGTTTCTTTGTAATTTGAGTTGGTGTAATCATCAAATATTTTGTCCTCCGTTTGGGCTACCCAAGTGGATGTTTGTTAACTAAACTGGTGTGAACATTCACAATACTAGTCAAGTATTTGTGCACAGTCGTTACCTGACTAACGGTCTAACACGTGGCGTGTATGTGTGTGTCTGTGAGTACAGGCTTGTATGTGTGTGAGTACAGGCTTGTATGTGAGAGTACAGGCTTGTATGTGTGAGTAAAGGCTTGTATGTGTGTGAGTACAGGCTTGTATGTGAGAGTACAGGCTTGTATGTGAGTGAGTACAGTCTTGTATGTGATAGTACAGGCTTGTATGTGAGAGTACAGGCTTGTATGTGAGAGTACAGGCTTGTATGTGTGAGTACAGGCTTGTATGTGTGAGTACAGGCTTGTATGTGTGAGTACAGGCTTGTATGTGAGAGTACAGGCTTGTATGTGAGAGTACAGGCTTGTATGTGTGAGTACAGGCTTGTATGTGTGAGTACAGGCTTGTATGTGAGAGTACAGGCTTGTATGTGATAGTACAGGCTTGTATGTGAGTGAGTACAGGCTTGTATGTGAGAGTACAGGCTTGTATGTGTGTGAGTACATTCTTGTATGTGTGAGTACAGGCTTGTATGTGAGAGTACAGTCTTGTATGTGTGTGTGTAAAGGCTTGTGTGTGTGAGTACAGGATTGTGTGTGTGAGTATAGGCTTGTATGTGAGAGTACAGGTTTATATGTGTGTGAGTAGTCTTGTATGTGTGAGTACAGTCTTGTATGTGTGTGTAAAGGCTTGCGTGTGTGAGTACAGGGTTGTGTGTTTGAGTACAGGCTTGTGTGTGTTTAAAGGCTTTTGTGTGTGTGTGTAAAGGCTTGTATGTGTGTGAGTACAGGCTTGTATGTGAGAGTACAGGCTTGTATTTGAGTGAGTACAGTCTTGTATGTGATAGTACAGGCTTGTATGTGAGAGTACAAGCTTGTATATGTGAGTACAGGCTTGTATGTGTGAGTACAGTCTTGTATGTTTGTGTAAAGGCTTGCGTGTGTGAGTACAGGGTTGTGTGTGTGAGTACAGGCTTGTGTGTGTTTAAAGGCTTTTGTGTGTGTGTGTGTAAAGGCTTGTATGTGTGAGTACAGGCTTGTATGTGTGAGTACATTCTTGTATGTGTGTGTTTACAGGTTGTTATGTGTATGTTCAGGCGTGTGTGTACAGACTTGTATGTGTGTGGACAGTCTGTCATGTTAACTGACAGCCTGGTATCTATGTAAATGACTAGCTTGTTTGGGGGGAAAGAGGATTAACAGATTGTGACTTAGTCATTCCACATACTTAACTGTCCTGATTTTTACAGTTTAATAGTCTAAATTTACACCTATGGTCACATCTCTTCTCTTGATTGAGCAATGTCACTATCAGGTAAATCTGGAGGATATACCACAAGGTACATGCCAGTTCAAAACCAGGTTTTTCTGTATGCTGATATCTTCCTGCAACATTGTATCACGGATGTTGTCATGATATCTTCCTGCAGCATTGTATCATGGATGTTGTCATGATATCTTCCTGTAACATTGTATCACGGATGTTGTCATGATATCTTCCTGCAACATTGTATCATGGTTGTTGTCATGATATCTTCCTGCAACATTGTATCACAGATGTTGTCATGATATCTATCTTCCTGCAGCATTGTATCACGGATGTTGTCATGATATCTTCCTGCAACATTGTATCACGAATGTTGTCATGATATCTTCCTGCAGCATTGTATCACGGATGTTGTCATGATATCTTCCTGCAGCATTGTATCACGAATGTTGTCATGATATCTTCCTGCAGCATTGTATCACGGATGTTGTCATGATATCTTCCTGCAGCATTGTATCACGGATGTTGTCATGATATCTTCCTGCAACATTGTATCATGGTTGTTGTCATGATATCTTCCTGCAACATTGTATCACGGATGTTGTCATGATATCTTCCTGCAGCATTGTATCACGGATGTTGTCATGATATCTTCCTGCAACATTGTATCATGGTTGTTGTCATGATATCTTCCTGCAACATCGTGTCATGGATGTTGTGATGATATCTTCCTGCTACATCGTGTCATGGTTGTTGTCATGATCTACTGAGATGAACGTTTCTTCTACCTCGGTGTTAAATGATATGATGTAAATGTTGTCAATGTCCTTGAGATAATACAACAAGCACTAACACAGGTTCAGGGATTGCTCTAGCAGGTGTATGTTAACTCAACTTTTGATCAGTATAACATTAATTTCAAAAAGCCAAAAAATGTTTATTGTGCTTCAGTAGACATGTCACAGTCTTCATGGTTCAGTGAGTTCAAATGATGCCAATAAAATGTATATTTCATTTCTAGTTCTGTTTTTTTCTGGAATCTATACTGTTATCAAAGTTGATGAAAATCTGAACTATTGTTAGGTTGGAGGTCTGAACTATTTTCAGGTTAATAGAGATCTGAACTATCGTCAGGTTGATGAGATCTGAACTGTTGTCAGCTTCATGGAGATCTGAACTATCTTCAGATTTATTGATCTGAACTATTGTCAGATTTATGAAGATCTGAACTATTGTCAGGTTGATGGAGACCTGAACTACTGTCAGGTTAATAGAGATCTGAACTATCATCAGGTTGATGGAGATCTGAACTGTTGTCAGGTTGATGGAGGTGTGAACTATCCTCAGGTAAATGGAGATCTGAACTATCATGAGGTTGATGGAGATCTGAACTATCGTCAGGTTAATAGAGATCTGAACAATTGTCAGGTTGATGGAGATCTGAACTATTGTCAGGTTCATGGAGATCTGAACTATTTTCAAATTTATTGATCTGAACTATTGTCAGATTTATGAAGATCTGAACTATTGTCAGGTTGATGGAGATCTGAACTATTGTCAGGTTGATGGAGATCTGAACTATTGTCAAGTTGATGGAGATCTGAACTATTGTCAGATTTATGGAGATCTGAACTATTGTCAGATTTATGGAGATCTGAACTATTGTCAGATTTATGGAGATCTGAACTATTGTCAGGTTGATGGAGATCTGAACCATTGTCAGGTTAATAGAGATCTGAACTATTGTCAGATTTATGGAGATCTGAACTGTTGTCAATTGTGTTATCAGTAGATAATCATTCTCTGGATGCATATTCACTGTGATTAAAGTAAGCCTGTAGAGGGGATAAATATCCCCACTACAGGCTTACTTAGATCACACTCAATATCTCCACTACAGGTTTACTTTGATCACAGTGAATATCTCCACTACAGGCTTACTTTGATCACAGTGAACATCTCCACTACAGGCTTACTTTGATCACAGTGAATATCTCCACTACAGCCTTACTTTGATCAGAGTGAATATCTCCACTACAGGCTTACTTTGATCACAGTGAATATCCCCACTACAGGCTTACTTTGATCACAGTGAATATCCCCACTACAGGCTTACTTTGATCACACTGAATATCTCCACTACAGGCTTACTTTGATCACACTGAGTATCTCCACTACAGGCTTACTTTGATCACGGTGAATATCCCCACTACAGGCTTACATTGATCACTGTGAATATCCCCCCTACAGGCTTTCTTTGATCACGGTGAATATCCCCACTACAGGCTTACTTTGATTACAGTGAATATCCCCACTACAGGCTTACATTGATCACAGTGAATATCTCCACTACAGGCTAACTTTGATCACACTGAATATCTCCACTACAGGCTTACTTTGATCACACTGAGTATCTCCACTACAGGCTTACTTTGATCACGGTGAATATCCCCACTACAGGCTTACATTGATCACAGTGAATATCCCCCCTACAGGCTTTCTTTGATCACGGTGAATATCCCCACTACAGGCTTACATTGATCACAGTGAATATCCCCCCTACAGGCTTTCTTTGATCACGGTGAATATCTCCACTACAGGCTAACTTTGATCACAGTGAATATCTCTTCTACAGGCTTACATTGATCACAGTGAATATCCCCACTACAGGCTTACTTTGATCACAGTGAATATCTCCACTACAGGCTAACTTTGATCACAGTGAATATCTCCACTACAGGCTTACTTTGATCACACTGAATATCTCCACTACAGGCTTACTTTGATCACACTGAGTATCTCCACTACAGGCTTACTTTGATCACGGTGAATATCCCCACTACAGGCTTACATTGATCACTGTGAATATCCCCCCTACAGGCTTTCTTTGATCACGGTGAATATCCCCACTACAGGCTTACTTTGATTACAGTGAATATCCCCACTACAGGCTTACATTGATCACAGTGAATATCTCCACTACAGGCTAACTTTGATCACACTGAATATCTCCACTACAGGCTTACTTTGATCACACTGAGTATCTCCACTACAGGCTTACTTTGATCACGGTGAATATCCCCACTACAGGCTTACATTGATCACAGTGAATATCCCCCCTACAGGCTTTCTTTGATCACGGTGAATATCCCCACTACAGGCTTACATTGATCACAGTGAATATCCCCCCTACAGGCTTTCTTTGATCACGGTGAATATCTCCACTACAGGCTAACTTTGATCACAGTGAATATCTCTTCTACAGGCTTACATTGATCACAGTGAATATCCCCACTACAGGCTTACTTTGATCACAGTGAATATCTCCACTACAGGCTAACTTTGATCACAGTGAATATCTCCACTACAGGCTTACATTGATCACAGTGAATATCTCCACTACAGGCTAACTTTGATCACAGTGAATATCTCCACTACAGGCTTACATTGATCACAGTGAATATCTCCACTACAGGCGTACTTTGATCACAGTGAATATCCCCACTACAGGCTTACTTTGATCACAGTGAATATCTCCACTACAGGCTAACTTTGATCACACTGAATATCTCCACTACAGGCTTACTTTGATCACACTGAGTATCTCCACTACAGGCTTACTTTGATCACGGTGAATATCCCCACTACAGGCTTACATTGATCACTGTGAATATCCCCCCTACAGGCTTACTTTGATCACGGTGAATATCCCCACTACAGGCTTACATTGATCACAGTGAATATCTCCACTACAGGCTAACTTTGATCACACTGAATATCTCCACTACAGGCTTACTTTGATCACACTGAGTATCTCCACTACAGGCTTACATTGATCACGGTGAATATCCCCACTACAGGCTTACATTGATCACTGTGAATATCCCCCCTACAGGCTTTCTTTGATCACGGTGAATATCCCCACTACAGGCTTACATTGATCACAGTGAATATCCCCCCTACAGGCTTTCTTTGATCACGGTGAATATCTCCACTACAGGCTAACTTTGATCACAGTGAATATCTCCACTACAGGCGTACATTGATCACAGTGAATATCCCCACTACAGGCTTACTTTGATCACAGTGAATATCCCCACTACAGGCTTACTTTGATCACACTGAATATCTCCACTACAGGCTTACTTTGATCACACTGAGTATCTCCACTACAGGCTTACTTTGATCACGGTGAATATCCCCACTACAGGCTTACATTGATCACTGTGAATATCCCCCCTACAGGCTTTCTTTGATCACGGTGAATATCCCCACTACAGGCTTACTTTGATTACAGTGAATATCCCCACTACATGCTTACATTGATCACAGTGAATATCCCCACTTCAGGCTTCCTTTCACCACAGTGAATATCCCATATACAGGCGTACTTTGATCACGGTGAATATCCCCACTTCAGGCTTATTTTCACCACAGTGAATATGCCATATACAGGCTTACTTTGATCACAATAAAAAAACACCTTACAGGCTTACTTTGATCACAGTGAATATCCTCACTACAGGCTTACTTTGATCACAGTGAATATCCCCACTACAGGCTTACATTGATCACAGTGAATATCCCCACTACAGGCTTTCTTTGATCACAGTGAATATCCCCACGACAGTCTTCCTTTGATCACAGTGATTGTTTACCCAGAGGACGATTATCTACTGATGACGCAACTGTGATGACATTTGTATATAATCGAATCTGGATGAGAGAATCCCGGGACTGGTGAGCAGCTATCCGCGAGAGTACTCACGGGCAATCACAGTCACGCTTTGTTTGGACCCATTCTTTGCCAGAATACGTCCGTTGTCGCTCTAGGATGTTCGTCTGGGATACAGAGTGCTTCTCGTCCCAGTCGCCCCCATCACGATTCAAGTGTGCACTTGTCCAGGACAGTCTCGTGAAAACATCTCACCAAAAGACTTGAAATGGTGGTACTTGTCACAATACATTCACGAGCTTTAACTAAATAAAATAGGGACTCATGTGCGGAGTAGGGAATCCGTGTTAAACTGTGGTATGGTATTTTATTGTATACTACCCTTCAAAAGTTGAGACTCGCTTAAAGCACTCACAAATGTGTGTGTGTGTGTGTGTGTGTGTGTGTGTGTGTGTGCGTGCGTGTGTGTGTGTCTCTCCCTCTAACTTTGGGGAACCAACTGCAAACCTTATGCAGATGAATTGCACGAGTATCATGCATCAAATTGCTGAAAACCATGTGCAAATATCGTGCATGTGAACAGCTGTGATTTGGCTAGAATTTTTAAAGAATTTGCCCAGTTTTCACGGAGTTTCATCATTTATCTTGACAATAATCTTTTCAACGTTATGGATTTGCTTTACAATACATCAGTTCATGTGTAAACAGTAAGGAATATTTGGCAAAACCTAGTTTAGAACAGTTGACTGAAGTAAGTGGCTACATTTACACAAGTGAGCCTAAACGTTTGATGGGTAGTATAAAACCGGTAGCCCACGTGTCACTGCAAATACACGCTAGATACTTCACATGCCACAGACGATAGAAAGACTGCTACACGTCCTGACATTGATTACACATTGAAGATCAGCCCTGATACAAAGACTGCTACACGTCCTGACACTGATTACACATTGTATATCAGCCCTATACACGTCCTGACATTGATTACACATTGAAGATCAGCCCTGATACAAAGACTGCTACATGTCCTGACATTGATTACACATTGAAGATCAGCCCTGATATAAAGACTGCTACACGTCCTGACATTGATTACACATTGAAGATCAGCCCTGATACAAAGACTGCTACACGTCCTGACATTGATTACACATTGAAGATCAGCCCTGATACAAAGACTGCTACGCGTCCTGACATTGATTACACATTGAAGATCAGCCCTGATACAAAGACTGCTACATGTCCTGACATTGATTACACATTGAAGATCAGCCCTGATACACAAAGATTGCTACACGTCCTGACATTGATTGAACATTGAAGATGAGCCCTGATA